GCCTCTTTGTAACTCTGCCTTTCAATAAACAAATTTTAAAAATGAAAATGACTTACCTTTCACAGTTGGTGGCATTACCATCTTTTAAAAAAAGCTAATGAAGAAATGTAGGAAGAAAATGATTTTCAATGTCAAAGATGGAATTAATGAAAACCAAGAATTAATGAAACTACAAGAATCAATTACAAGAATAAAGGTAACAATTGCCACTGTTCAAAACCCAGCCACATATTTTATAAAGTTTTTCCATTTTCCCAGGACACAGATTGAACTGCTACTTCTACGTGGCAGACATTGAAGAGCAACTTTGGTCTAAGAAGGCTAAAGCAGTGATGCTGATTCCTGTCCATAGTTAAAGGAGTGGGGTGAATAATTATTTCTATTAGTAATTATTTCTATTAATATTGTCCCTTAACTCCAAAGTTGAAGTGAGAATCTGTCTAGGAAAATAAAGAAAATTAGATTAAAGTCAAACTAAAATCGTGAGTTTGGAAAAATCACCAGTATCTAAAACATGAGTATCATTTTACTGTCTTGCTTATTTATACAACATTAAATATACACGGGGCTTCATCATATCCCCTACATAAATTATGCACTTGGGGGCAGGTGTTTGGCCATTGGTCCATGGGTTCAGAAGCCACTTGTGAGGCTTGCATCCCATATGGAGTGCTTGGTTTGAGTCCCAGCTCTGCTTCCATTTCCAGCTGCCTGATAATGCACATCCTGAGAGGCAGCAAGTGATGACTAAAGTACATGAGTCCAACCACCCATATGAGAGTTGTGCATTGAGTTCCAGTTCCTGGCCAGCCTGCCTTGGCTCTGGCTGTTTCAGACATTTGGGGAGTGAACCAGTGGATGGAGGATATCTGTATCTGTCTCTCTCTCTCTCTCCCTTTCAAATAAATAAAAATAAATAAAATTTTAAAATAATGTGCTTGAGTCTCTATTCAATTCTCTTGAGTCTCTATTCTATTCTCTTATTTAGAAGTAGTATAGGATAGCAATTTAAAACAAGAGATCCTGGGGTCAGGCTGCCTGTGTTCAAGTTCTGCCAATGACCATCTATGTAATAAGTTCATTGCCTGAGAATCATGAAGCAAGACCCCTACCTTTCACCTTATACAAAAATTCACTCAACATGGATTAAAGACTTAAATCTACGACCCGACACCATCAAATTATTAGAGAGCACTGGAAAAACCCTGCAAGATATAGGTACTGGCAAAGACTTCTTGGAAAATACCCCAGAAGCACAGGCAGTCAAAGCCAAAATTAACATTTGGGATTGCATCAAATTGAGAAGTTTCTGTACTGCAAAAGAAACAGTCAGGAGAGTGAAGAGGCAACCGACAGAATGGGAAAAAATATTTGCAAACTATGCAACAGATAAAGGGTTGATAACCAGAATCTACAAAGAGATCAAGAAACTCCACAAAAACAAAACCAACAACCCACTTAAGAGATGGGCCAAGGACCTCAATAGACATTTTTCAAAAGAGGAAATCCAAATGGCCAACAGGCACATGAAAAAATGTTCAAGGTCACTAGCAATCAGGGAAATGCAAATCAAAACCACAATGAGGTTTCACCTCACCCCAGTTAGAATGGCTCACATTCAGAAATCTACCAACAACAGATGCTGGCGAGGATGTGGGGGAAAAGGGACACTAACCCACTGTTGGTGGGAATGCAAACTGGTTAAGCCACTATGGAAGTCAGTCTGGAGATTCCTCAGAAACCTGAATATAACCCTACCTTTCAACCCAGCCATACCACTCCTTGGAATTTACCCAAAGGAAATTAATTGGCAAACAAACAAGCTGTCTGCTCATTAATGTTTATTGCAGCTTAATTCACAATAGCTAAGACCTGGAACCAACCCAAATGCCCATCAACAGTAGACTGGATAAAGAAATTATGGGACATGTACTCTATAGAATACTATACAGCAGTCAAAAACAATAAAACCCGGTCATTTGCAACAAGATGGAGGAATCTGGAAAACATCATGCTGAGTGAACTAAGCCAGTCCAAAGGGACAAATATCATATGTTCTCCCTGATCGGCGACAACTAACTGAGCAGCAAAGGGGAAACCTGTTGAAGTGAAATGGACACTATGAGAAACAGTGACCTGATCAGCTCTTGTCCTGACGGTTGATGTACAATGTAATACTTTATCCATTTTAGTATTTTTTTTTGTTCTAGTACCATTGGTTGAACTGTAAGTAACATACAATTATTCTTAGGTGTTTAAATTTTAACTGAAAAGTGATCCCTGTTAGGAATTTGGAAAACATTATGCTGAGTGAAATAAGCCAGTCCCAAAGGGACAAATATCATATGTTCTCCCTGATCGGTGACAACTAACTGAGCACCAAAAAGGAAACCAGTTAAAGTGAAATGAACACTATGAGAAACGGTGACTTGATCAGCCCTTGCCCTGACTGTTGATGAACAACTTAATACGTTATCCCTCTTAGTATTTTTTTGTTTGTTCTACTTAATACTTTTGGTTGAATACTGTAATCAATACACAGTTATTCTTAAGTGTTGAAATTTAACTGAGAAGTGAATGCTGTTAAATGTAAGAGTGGGAATAAGAGAGGGAGGAGATGTGCAATTTGGGACATGCTCAGCTGACTTGCCCCAAATGGTAGAGTTAGAAACATACCAGGGGATTCCAATTCAACCCTATCAAGGTGGCATGTACCAATGCCATCTCACTAGTCCCAGTGATCAATTTCTGTTCACAATTGATCATAATGATAGGACTAAGAACCAAAGGGATCACATAAACAAGACTAGTGTCTGCAAATACTAACCGATAGAATAAAAAAGGGAGAGAATGATCCAACATGGGAAGCGAGATACACAGCAGACTCATAGAATGGCAGATGTCCTAAACAGCACTCTGGCCTCAGAATCAGCCCTTAAGGCATGCGGATCCGGCCGAAAAGCCCATGAGAGTATTTCAGGCATGGAAAGCCAAGACACTCTGGCAAAAACAAAACAAAAAAAATGACCTAAATGAAAGATCTCCACGAGTGAGATCCCAGTGGAAAGAACATGTCATCAAAGAAGGAGGTACCTTTCTCTGAAGGGAGGAGAGAACTTCCACTCTGACTACGACCTTGTCTAAATATGATCAGAGTCGGTGAACTCAAAAGGCTTCCATAGCCTTGGCAACTCATGACAAGAGACTAGGGTGATTACTGATGCCATAAACAAGAGTGTCAATTTGTTAAGTCAACAACAGGAGTCACTGTGCACTTACTCCTCATGTAGGATCTCTGTCCTTAATGTGCTGTACATTGTGATTTAATGCTATAACTAGTACTCAAACAGTATTTTTCACTTTGTGTTTCTATGTGGGTGCAAACTGTTGAAATCTTTACTTAATATATGCTAAACTGATCTTCTGTATATAAAGAGAATTGAAAATGAATCTTGATGTGAATGGAAGGGGAGAGGGAGCGGGAGATGGGAGGGTTGTGGGTGGGAGGGAAGTTATGGGGGAGGGGAGCCATTGTACTCCTTAAGCTGTACTTGGGAAATTTATATTCATTAAATAAAAGTTAAAAAATGAACAAACAACAAAAAAAGTTCATTGCCTGGATAAGTTCATTGCCCTCCCCAAACTTCAGTTTCCTCATCTGTGAGAAAAGGAGAGGGTGCCTGGCAAACAGTAATGCTAAACACATTTTAGGTATAACGACTACAGTAAATAGTTTTGCCTTTACCAGGGCACCAAGCCTCTAGCTGTTTGAGTGTGGATGCGAAGAGATCTCAGACTTGCTCTCCTCAAGGAGGAGGAACCTAGCTGAAGGTTTGTTAGCCACTCTGCCCTCTGTCACTGACAGGCGATGACTGACCGACAGGTATAACAAAGGTTGCAAGCTCTAGCTCTCTGTTTCTCCACCTGAACATGGAGCAGGCCAGAGCTGCACTTCCTGAGATCCCTTTCTTTCTTAACTTCCTCTCCTTCCCTATCCTGCTTTTCTCCCTCATATTCATGTTATTTTTTCCCACTATAAAGCATTTTCTCAACAAAAGCATATACACCATCTCAGGCTTCTAGTAACTGGTCCTAAAACAAGAACCACATTTCTTTGAATTTAAATCACATGTATTTTTATACACTTCACAATGGTGCAGTCAGAATGTATCTTAAAATCGCTGTTATTTGGGGTAAAGTTGTCATTCTCTGCACATGGATAGGAAAACGCGCAGAATGTGTGTGAGGCCTTTGAAGAAAATTCTGGGACAACAGTGGGGCATTCGTTTGCTGCATCACTGAGACTCTCGATGGCACTGAGGACCGTACTTTGTGGAGAAACAGTCATCAGTGACCCTGAGCCGAGTAGCTGAAAGGTTTAAGAGTCAGACTGAATAAGTCAAAGTGTTAGGTATGTGTTAGCCTATTTATTTTCCTTATGATATATGCAAAACAGTGGTGTATGATGGTTTTTCAAAGTACTTCTATAAGAGTTCTTTCAGAATTCTAGAATGAATTCTAAGTGTTGATTATGACAAAGCTGATTATGACAAATGAATGCTGTGAGTCAACTGGATGGCCTCACTGGGGAGAAAAATAATTTCATTCCTCTGACTGACACCATGCCCCAAATCAACCCCAGATGGATTACAAATCTAAATGTGAAAAGTAAAACAATTGAACTACTGAAAGATAATATAGGAAACCATCTTCATAAGGTGGGGTTGAGCACATATGTGTTTAGCAAGACTCCAAAGTCTTTAATTATAAAGAAAATAATGAATGAATGTACTATATTAACAAAAAACTTTTATTCGTCAAAATATACCACTAAAAGAGTGGAAAAGCAAGTCACAAGTTGGAAAAATTATTTGCAACATGTATTTCTGACAAATGGATATATCCACATAATTGTAATTATATATTATTATATTATTAAATATGTTATTATTATATACTATAATTACACAGTAATTATATTCCACATAATGAAAAGAACGCCTACTCTTAATAGAAGCCCAGATTAGATGTGTTTTCCTTACAGACGACACTTTGCATGGGTTCTCACAACATGTTGCTAGAAGAATTAACTGCTTCCTGTGTGACTCCACTGGGAGAAACTCTCAGAACTTTGCAGTTGGTTTTCTCTGGAGTGCATGTATTTTTTTTTCCTCTTGTTAAATTTGCTTTGCATCCTTTTACTGTAATAAACTATAACTGTGGGTATAATGACTTCTGAGACCTGTGAGTCCTAGTGAATCACCAAATTGGGACTGTGTAACATGTTATTATTCAGAAAATATTCACTCTTCTCCCTCAACTTCCATAAGAATAGTAGCTTTCCATCTGATTGATATTGAACTTGGCCACCTGCTTTTGCCATTGGCATGTGGATAGAAGCAACTTTGTGCCAGCTCGAAGCTTATACCTCAGAGGCATGATTTGTTTGCTGTTCTCGGAACGTTTGAATTCCTCCGTACAAAGAATACAATTCAGGAAGCTGTTGACTCCTATCAGTCTGGGCCACAGAGTGAGTACAAAGAAAGCAGACTTGAGTCCAAACCCCAGTATGACACCAAGCCTGGTCAGAGCCAGAGCATGAAGCAGAGCCATCCTGCTGAGCCCAATCTAGATCAGAGAGCCACAGGCACAAGAGGAATTTATTACAGTATAGTAGTTACCTGAAAGAGGAAACCTCCTTAAAGGACAGTTGGTGTGTGTCTTCTCTCCCTTCATTTCCTCTGTTGTCTGGAAAATCAGATTTGACCCTAAAGCTCTAGTGATTTTTTTGTCAGGAGTGAGGATGAAGGCCAGATTCCAGGGATGGTGGGGCACTGAGCCGGAAGGCACATGGCCCCTAACGATTTGTGGTGCTGCCCCACTTCTGTCTCATTTAGACCAGCATTAGGCTAGATTATCAGGCACATGCTGCTATACTTAATGCTAACTAGTAAGACTCACAAATCCTTTTTCCACCCATAGACTCTTAGACTAGAAAACCTGGAACAGGCAAGCCAAGTGCAGAAAGCTCAGGTGAACCACTTCTGCTGCTTCCTAGGAAGTCCTGGGCTCATTTTCAGAGAATGAGTTTCTTACCAGTTTTGGCATACAACCCCCTCCCTCGCCTCCACCCTACTTGCCTTCCTATTCTGGAAAGAACAAGAAAAAAAAAAAAAAAAGGAGCTAATGCCAGTCATTTGGGATAGTCCACTAGACAATATCTCTAAAAAATATGTTTTTGCTTTCCTGCCTCTGAGTTCTTTCGAGTGGAATCTCAGTGAAAACCAATATTAAAATAAACATGAGCCAAAATGCTCTGAAAAGGATGGCGATAAAGGGCAGCATTCTGAGTCTTTCCTTTTCTGGCTCTAGGGGAGGCTCCACGGAATTGCTGTGGCCGTGGGAAGCCCAGGACAACACTCACTGTGCCTCCTCCCCCTCTGCATCCCAGACCAGCTCCGCAGCCCAGCCCGGAGCTTTGCTGAGAACACTTTATTGAATGTCACATTATTATTCTCTTCAGTGCTCTCTGTCTTCCATCTGGGGTGGAAGGGAAACAGTGAAGCAGACAATTACATTGCTGATGTGGGATTTTTAGAGGAAAATTGAGGGAAATTATAGGGACTACCCAGCTGTGGTGAAAATTCCTCACTCTCTTCCCACAGGACCCATTATTTTGCAAACTGCAACTATTAAAAATGATTTATAGTCACTTGCCAACTTTACCATGCTGTTCGAGTCCCTTGAATCTTACCTAGCTGTTAAAAAGGACACAGATGGTCAAAGCCTGTCCACTCTCAAATTTTGATGACTACTATTTAGAAAGTTGAAATCACTACACCATCCTTGTCAATTGTACTTTCCTGATACCTCCAATTTTATTTGATTTTGTTTCTTATCTGCTAGATCAGGTTTCTTAAATCAGCTTTTTTTTTTTTTCTGTTTATTTGAAAGGCAGAGTTAGAGAGAAAGAGAAAGAGTGAGAGATTCCATCCACTGGTTGAATCTGCAAATGGCTGCAACAGCCAGAGCTGGGCTGATCCAAAGCCAGAAGCCAGGAGCTTCTTCTGGGTCTCCCACAAGGGTGCAGGGACCCAAGCACTTGGGCCGTCTTCCATTGCTTTCCCAGGCTATAGCAGAGCACTGGATTGGAAGTGGAACAGCCGGGACTTGAACCAGCACCCATATAGGATGCCAACAGTGCAGGCTGCGGCTTTACCTGCTATGCCACAGTGCCAGCCCCAGCTCTGCTTATTTTTACCTTGAAAATGTTTTCCTACTAAAAATGTCTTTGGGATTTTGCTTAGTTATTTTTTTCTGAAATACAAAGGAAATTCCTTGATTGTTTTATCCTTAACCCTTATTTAAAGGTGCCCACTATTTAATTTTATTCACTTTCTTCCTTGCTTCGTTTTCAGAAAGACAGACACCTAAGATGGGTAAAATTCTGCAAGATTGGCCCAAATCTTGCTTGTTTGGTGTGCTGATGGGCTTTGGTTGTAGCCTAATCTCCCAGTTGCCTTATCATCCCAGAACTTTGAGGAGCTACAGGAAGATGTGGGTAAATAAGAAGGCAGTTGTATGGTAGCAGCCAGGAGCAGATCTATAGCTAATTACTAGCAGGCAGCATCTCCTAAGCTTGATGTCAGCTTCGGGAGCCTGACTTTAGAAAGGAGGTGCTGTCTGCTTCACTTTGTATTTTCACTTCAGAGGCTGCTGCTCTGTGCAATTAACACTTAGGAAATGGAGAAAAAAGTGTTTTTCTGAAGAAAATGCTCAGGAGACCTCCTGATAGTTTAGATGGTAGCAAAGAAAATTTCTTTAGTGTGACAAAAGCACAAATGGAGCAAAGATAAAATGAGTCACTTCTAAGATCTGCATTTAAGAACTTGAGAATAACGGGCTACATTGGGTAGACGCAAAATGAATCATTTAACTATTTGGCTATCCTATTAGGTAGCTATTTGGGGTGGGAGAGAAATCTTCTGAGAGTCTAGCTGGGTTGCTTTTTTTTTTTTTAAATACCATGCAAAGTTTTACTTGTACTTACTATAGAAAAGCTTCAAACAATAGAGAGTGATATTGCATTGTTTGGGGTAGGCTACGCTACACTGCCCGAGCTAGTCAGTCCCAAAGATGGCCTTCAGTGGTCCAGGGATGGTGCTCATACCCTTCTGCAGTCCCTGTCTCCTTGATCTCCTTGGAGGCTGGATTTAGTGACTTGCTTTTAGCAAATAGAGTAAGACAGCAGTGTCAGGATGTTGCTTCTCAGAATTGGTTAAAAGAGACTGTAGATTGTATGTTGTTTTCTCTTTCTCTCCTCTCCTCTCTCAAATCTTTCACTCTGGAAATAGTGTTTGGCTCAGTGACTAAAGTCTCTGTTTGGAATGTCTGCATCCCACATGAGAGTGGCTGGTTTGAGTCTTGGCTACTGAGCTTCTAATCCAGCTTCCCGCTAATGCACGCCTTGGGGAAGCAGCAAGTGATGGCTCAAGTACTTGGGTCCCCACCATCCACATGGGAAGACCCAGATGGAGGTCTTGTCTCTTGGGTTAAGCCTGGCCCAGCCCAGCCCAGCCCAGACTGTTGCAGACATCTGGGGAGTGAACTAGTGGATAGAAGATTTCTCTGTTTTTTTCTCTCTTTGTTTCTCTGCCTTCCAATTAAAATTGAAAATAAATGATTTTTTTTTAAAAAAACTTCTAACTATGAGGAAGCAAGCCGCCCTATCATGAGCTACCTAATGGAGAGGCTTCTGGTGTCTCTGGGCAACAGCCATTACAGGGCTGAGACTTGCCAACAGCTACATGAGTGGACTTGGAAGCAGATTCTCCAGCCCCAGTTGAGCCTGGAAGTGTCCACAGCCTTGGCTGACATCAGGATTACAGCTTCATGAGGGGTCCTGAGCTGGAATCATTCCTGAGTTCTTGACCCGTGAAATAATGTGTGTTGATTATAGCTGCCGGGCTTGGGGGTAATTTGTCATGCTTCAATAGACAACGAATACAGTGTATTTAATTCACATCCCAGTTGCTTTACACAATGATACCCTCCCCACACTACATCTTTATTTCAGCTTAGGTTCCTCCCTGGGAGGATATCTTCCATGGGTAACTTTGTGATCCTGGCTGCTTTTATTTTGTAGGGAGATTGCTTGAAAGACTCATAACTTGAAGAGTCCCTGACAGAAATTGCTGAATGTCACTTCTGCTCACCATGGGCTGGAATGATCCACATGACCTCATCTCACTGTATGGAAGAATGGAGAACGGGAGGAGTGTATGGAAGTCAACCAGAATTAAGTTTCTGCCACATGTGTGCCATGAAAAGTGAAAATACACTCTTGTCCTTTCTGACACATTTCATGTTTAACTCTCTGAATTATGCCCTCTCAGATAATACATGTCACACCAGCTCACAGACATGCAATGTATATTATATATATTTGACTTAATTTTACCTAATCAATTATACAAATCATACATATTTTATGTGCTTCGCTAGCCACTCATTTTGATACCAATACAAAGGACAGACGGGAGCTAGCATTTATTAAGTGCAGAGGGCTTAGGCACTATGCTGTGCATTTACATTCTGATTTCACTAAAAGCTTATAGTACCCCTATGAAATATGTAATTATGATTTTAACTCCCATAGTGAAATCCCTTTCATGGGCTTTAAGCATCCCCCAGCCTCCTCCCCCACCACTGATACTCACCATGTAATTTTTTTTCTTTCTGATAGAAAGCAGAGTTAACAGACTGTGACGATTGCTGCTTTTCTTAGTGAAGATTCTGTAAAGATCCAAGTGCCCTTTCCCAGAAGATAGACCGTGCATATTTAAAATGGAAAGAGAACATGCAATATTTGCAAATTTCCTGGGAAAATCCTTCATCTAAAAGTATGCTAATTTACCTTTCAATGTTTCCATTGAAGAACAGACAACAAACTATATAGCTAGATATGGATATAGAGATAAAGAAATATATCCCAAAAGATGGCAGAGAGCTATGACTGGCTGTCTCTACTGTACTATCATTTCCACTCGGGAATTCTTTGAAGGAGTTGCCAGTTCATGTCTGAGGAATTTGAAAGAGGCAGGCAAACTCCCCAGGTCCCTGTCTCTGACCGAGTGAGCTGTTCCAGTTCAGAGGCCTGGGGTTACTGGACAGTAAAGTATTCTCACTCTGGCAGACACATGGGAGCAGAGAGGATGAGATCTGACTTTTGTGAAGCATCTTCTTGGGTGGACGACAGAGGGAGAGAAAACTTCCTGGACTAGTCTCTGGATTCTGGAATTCTGCAACTTCCTTCCTTTTTCAATTCAAGGAAATTAAGTAAGGTTTCATCCCAAAAGTAAGCCTTCTCTAAGGCTGGCAGGCACTAAGACAGTATTTTTTTTTTTTTTTTTGACAGGCAGAGTGGACAGTGAGAGAGAGAGACAGAGAGAAAGGTCTTCCTTTTGCCGTTGGTTTACCCTCCAATGGCTGCCGTGGCCGGTGCGCTGCAGCCAGCGTACTGTGCTGATCTGAAGCCAGGAGCCAAGTGCTTCTCCTGGTCTCCCATGGGGTGCAGGGCCCAAGGACTTGGGCCATCCTCCACTGCACTCCCGGGCCATAGCAGAGAGCTGGCCTGGAAGAGGGGCAACCGGGACAGAATCCGGCGCCCCGACCGGGACTAGAACCTGGTGTGCCGGCGCTGCAGACGGAGGATTAGCCTATTGAGCCGCGGCGCCAGCTCTAAGACAGTATTGCTGCTTCAGTTTTGCAGGTGAACAAGCAGAGATTCAGAGAGATTAAAGACACTGATGCCTAGCCCTGAACAATCCGCCTCTGCACATGAGCTTTCCTTGTTTGGCCTGAAGTGGGTAATCTCTTGAGGTGTCTTAATATTTAAAACACACTAGTCTAAGCAGAGCAATGGTCAAATCATGCACATCTGAGAGAACTCTCCTTCCATTCCCAGCACCTTGAATGCTTTCTCTGGACAAACTCAAAATAAATTTCTTCTTTTCAGCTCTTCAGTTGGTAGAGATTGGGGGGCCATTGGAGAGAACACCGCTGAAGAATTTGATTTGCACAAAGGAAAGGAGTAGTTTATACTTTCACCAAGTTTTCTGCAAATGAAGAGAATAGAGGATAATTTTTTTTTCTGGGAAGTATTGAAAAGGTCCTTGTTTTCCCTATATCTGCAGGTTGCTGAACATTGTTTGGAACCAGGAAAAGGGAACTGAAGCTGCTTTGCAAAACAATGTGGTGTACCCATTTCCAGAAAGGAAAGCTATACAAATTAGGTTATATTGATGAACAATTTTCCATTTATCATTAAAAAAATTAGACTGTTCCTCCAAGAATTATTGTTTATCATTGGTACATGTGTGTCTGTTCTGGAAGTTCATGCATTCATCCATTCATTTGGCAAATATTTTTTTGTGCCTGCTATGTAGTTGCCAGAAATAAAGTAACAAACAAACATCACAAAAACAATCACCATTATGAAGATTTTTCATTTTAATGAGGTGACAGAATAATTGGGGCCTTGGTAATACCCTCTCCCTTGTTTACAAATGGCAACCTCTTACTGCGTCCTTGTCTGGTGGTAGACAAAAATCATATCCTTTCCTGAAGGGCTCCACTGTGGGGAGCAACTGGGAGCAACTCGGACTAGACTAAGTTACGGGAATTAAGACTTATTCTATGCATCTGCTCTCCCACAATATGGCGCTGGGAGAGGAGGAAACAGCTTCTACACAGCTGCCTCCAGTTCAACCAATAAACTGTAGGACCTGCTCCTGATTGGAGGAGAGCAGCGTACTCGGCGTGTGGGTAGCAGAGTTGGGATTGGTGGAAGAGGACTATATAGGAGGAGAGAGATAACATGCACCAGGAACATCTGAGGGAACACCTGAGCAGCCCCCAAAAAGAGCTGGCCGGCGGTGTGCTGCTCCCCCGCGGAAGTGGGGAAAGTGGCAGGGGGAACTGCCCTTCCACGGAGGTGGAAGGGACGGTAGCCAACCCGGGAAGAACCAGCAGCAAACCCGGGGAGGGCCGAGCAGACAAAAGAACAGTGCAGGGTTTAGTGTCGTTCCTCCACGAAGACGGGGAGCGACACTCCACCTTCCTGACTTAATTACCTACCTAAGGCTTGACCTCCAAGTACAACCATATTGGGGTTTAGGATTTTACCATATGGATTTGGGAGAGACACAAGCATTCAGTTCACAGTAACAACTCTCTGGGAGAAAAAGAAAAGCAGGTCCCGAATATCAAGGAGAGATTGGGAAATGTTGCACTCCTATGAGGCAAAGTATTACATGGGGTATTATACGCCAGGTTTCAGATTCAGTTTGTTTGTTTCTTTGTAATTCTAACTATTTCTTCCTAGTCCCTCAATAAAATTCCTTGTGTACATTCACAGGAGGGTTGAGAATATAGGAAGGCGTAGCTTCTGGATGAGATTATCTGGCTGGGCTGGCGCCGCGGCTCACTAGGCTAATCCTCCACCTAGTGGCGCCGGCACACCAGGTTCTAGTCCTGGTCGGGGTGCCGGATTCTGTCCTGGTTGCCCCTCTTCCAGGCCAGCTCTCTGCTGTGGCCCGGGAGTGCAGTGGAGGATGGCCCAAGTCCTTGGGCCCTGCACCCCATGGGAGACCAGGATAAGTACCTGGCTCCCGCCATTGAATTAGCGTGGTGCGCTGGCCACAGCACACCAGCTGCGGCAGCCATTGGAGGGTGAACCAACGGCAAAGGAAGACCTTTCTCCCTGTCTCTCTCTCTCACTGTCCACTCTGCCTGTTAAAAAAAAAAAGAGAGAGATTATCTGGCTGTGTTTTGTGTGCAATAACAGGGCATATTGAGGAAAGATTGTGTAACAGGGACTCCAGGCAAAAACCCACAGAAAAGGGAAGTGGAACAGAAAAGCAACTGTCAAGTAGATGTAGGGGCATAAAATAAATCCACCTTCTCTTAAATGTATCAGGGAAAGTGACAATGTGCAGTTAATATTGTCAATTTGACATATGTATCAGGGGCAAAAAAAAAAATGAGGTAGGGAAGGTACTCTACAGAGTAGTAAACTAGTATTCCAATGAAAGTGACAAAAGTGTTCCTATAATTCCACCCAAACCAGAATTGAGAAAATTCCAGCACCCCTTTGCTATCATCTTCTGATATCTCTGTGGAACTGGAGGACTATCTGTCTTTTCACTCCCTTCTCTCTTGAATTGAAATCTAATTCTTCTGACCCTGTGGTGTGATGACTTCCAGACATCAGCGGGTCTGGCTCACCTGTTAGACTGGTGTGTCCATTCTTAGTTTTGACCTAAAGTCAAGTAAGAAAAATATATTCACTCTACTAGTTATGAATTCCATTTTACAGAGCACTAAAAGTGCTTGTAAAGTTTATGAATATCAAACTCTTAACATTTTTACTTCCTAATAATTGTCCCTTTTTTTGAAAACTCAGAAACAAATCCTTGAGACTTGGCTAGAGAAAAATAATGTTCTTTTTATGCTTGATCACCCCTTGCATCCACTTGTGGTTCTTGGGCCAATTTTCTTTTGAAGAGTTCATGGGCACAAGTACACACACTCTTAGTTCAACCTGTATCAACCCTCTAGACTTGTCTTGACTCTCAGAATAGATAGATCACCAAAATAGAATCCATGGTTCCTAAAGCTATTGCACTCATACAGCAGACTCCTAGAATGACAATTGCTTTAACTAGTACTCTGACCTCAGAATCAGTACTTAAGTCATTCTGGTCTAGCTGAAAAGCCCATGAGAGCATTTCAGGTATGGAAAGCCGAGACACTGAGCCAAAAATTGTCCAACATTAAGGATCTCTGTGAGACTCCAGTAGAAAGAGTGGTCATCAAAGAAGGAGGTACTTTTCTTTAGAGGGAGGAGAGAACTTTCACTTTGCTTATGTCCCTGTCTTTTTTATTTATTTATTTATTTGAAAGACAGAGTTACAGAGAGAAATAGAGACAGAGAGAGAGGTCTTCCATCTGCTGGTTCACTCCCCAATTGGCCACAACCGCTGGAGCTGCGGTGCTCTGAAGCCAGGAGCCAGCAGCTTTTTCTGGATCTCCCATGCTGGTGCAGGGGCCCAAGGACTTGGGTCATCTTCTACTGCTTTCCCAGGCCATAGCAGAGAGCTGGTTCGGAAGTGGAGCAGCTGGGACTTGAACCTGTGCCCATATGGGATTCTGGCACTTCAGGCGGCAGCTTTACCCACTACAACACAGTGCCAACCCCTCACTTAAACAATTTTCTATGAATTTATCCCTTATATTTGTATAGTGTTTTTTTGGGGGGGGGGCAGGCAGTGTGGACAGTGAGAGAGAGAGAGAGAGAGAGAGAGAAAGGTCTTCCTTTTCCATTGGTTCACTCCCCAATGGCCGCTACGGCCGGCGCACTGCGCTGATCTGAAGCCAGGAGCCAGGTGCTTCTCCTGGTCTCCCATGGGGTGCAGGGCCCAAGCACTTGGGCCATCCTCCACTGCACTCCCAGGCCACAGCAGAGAGCTGGCCTGGAAGAGGAGCAACCAGGACAGAACCGGCGCCCCGACCGGGACTAGAACCTGATGTGCCGGTGCCACAGGCTGAGGATTAGCCTATTGAGCTGTGCTGACAGCTTGTATAGTGTTTTAAAACTCCATAATATATTTACATGAATCATTTTATCTAAATGTCCTTGAAAAACCTCAATATATAAATAGTATTAACAAATGACCTTATGAGGCTCAGAATATAATATGTGAATTATTCAGTTCAATCTTCACAACAAATCTATTAGGTAGCTATTGTTGTCATCTCCAATTCACAGGTGAGGAAGTTGAGGAAGAGTGCGATGAAGGGCTTTGATCAAATTCAAGGTTGTTGAGAATATTAATAGTAGACTTGGGTTTAGAATTCTTGCATTACTTCCAGGATAACTTCTGAATGCTGGAGGCAAGGAGATGAGGAAGATGCAGCTCTTCTCCTTTCCCAACCTTGCCTTTCTTCTCTCGTGGTTCATGGCAGGACTTTTCCACCTGGGCACTATTGATATTAGACCTTTGATAATCCTCTGTTGGGGGATGGTCCTGTGCGTTGTTTGATGTTTCATAGCATCATTGGCTTCTCACTAGGTGTCATCAACACTCCCCCATTTCCCTAGTTGTGACACCAAAATATCCCCAGAAATCTCCACTATCCACTGCAAGGGGCAAGGCCATGCCCAAGGCTGGGACTCTGCTCTGTTTGGACTGTGCACAGATCCTGTGTCCAAAGGCTCTGGATGGCTTCCACCCTGAATGGAAGCTTCTCTGGTGCCTGGGCTGGCCTGCTGCGGTGTCTCCCGCCCTGGTGGGATCCCTACCCTGCCTTTTTTAGTGACTTCACCTTCAGTCACTCCTGCTCCTGAGGAGATTAGATTCACCTTTTCACCTCTCTTTCTTCTGTTCTCTCTAAAGTCCAGGAAAGGAAGTCAAGGAAAGACCCACACTGACTTCTCCTCTGATTCTGTATTTATTAGCCAAGCAAACAACAAGTGTATGTGGCTATGTGGCTGTTATACTGCAGGTGAAAATATGACATACATGGATTTGATTGGATTTATCTCTAATTGGGATGGTCAATTAGAGAAGCTGATCTATATTTACTCCTAGGAAAAAAATCTTTTCACAAGTCTATCAAAAAGCGTTTAATAAATCCCTAACCTGAATTTGTTTAGCACAGTAGCTTAAATGTCAGATGTATTGTTTCCATACAGAAATAAAGAGGCAATAATTTGGAATTTTATTTTAAGTATCACATATTTTTTTCACTTATCTGATCTTTCTACCACCCCTGGATATGCCCAGACTGCTTTGGAAAGCCTGGGTTGCTCCTTGTCTTTTGTGTGTTTTCGTACATTCTATTGGAATGTTTTCTTTCAGACATTTGTGTCTGCCAAGTCTATGACATTTCTCTCATGGTGTGTGGCGCTGTGAGTCACCAATGCTTACTGTTAAGCTGGGGCTTAATTTCTGCACTAATTCTGCTGTGTGCCCCACAGCCTACCAGGGCCGTGTTTATAGTGGACTCAGAAGTGGCTTTTGGAAGGATAGTGAGATTTCTGGAAAGAAAGACTTACAGGCCTTGATCAACTTGTTTTGTGATTTCAATTTATCAGGACAGTTGCTCTTAACTCACGGCATGTTGTGGTTTAGTGAAGGAATTGCTGCTCACTTTTCCAGTTTTGATTTACTAGTAAGTGACTACAGTGATGAAGGGCCTAGGGTTTTGTGTGGTTGACAGCTTTCAGCTCCTCTGAATCTTCTCCCATGTTCCATTTTCTGGTTTTCTTTTTGAATTATTTTTTTCCAGGAAAGTTTTCCTTACAGTCACCATTTGAATGATGCAGGACCCAGCCAGGTCGAGAGTTATGAGGCTGTGAAATAGGTTTAAATACGGCAGCTCTCACAAGTGGCTTCACTGGTCATGTGAGATTTGCAGGAACAACCATCGCCCCAATTATGCCTAA